AACACACCAGAGATAAATAAAAATAAATTATTAATAACAAGTTTAGGAGGATTTTTTGTTAATTTATTAGGGGTTGTAATGTTTCATAAAGATTATTATAATGATGATTCATTATATAGGATGTATCTACATATTTTATCAGACATGATAGAATCTGTAGGGGTTATAATATCAATCATCTTAGTTAATTATTTCAATTTCATATTTTTTGATACTCTTATTTCCTTTATTATAAGCATGATGATCGTTAATTATGCTTTAGATTTGTTTACTAGATGAAAATAATCTTTCTGATAGTTTATTTTCAATTTCGTTAGCTAATATTTTAGCATTTTGTTTTTCCTCTTCTGATCCAGAATTACTTAACGATCTAAAATATTTAATAAAAATCTCAACTCTCTTAAATTCTTTTTTCTTATTTAACCTCAAAATATATAATGAAAGTTTGTGTACAACATTTTTATATTCTTTATGAGTAACAGGAATTTGCCCGAGCCCTATAATTTCATTTAGTTTAGAATATGCATTTTCATAATCTTCTTCATCAAATATGTGTTCGGCATCAAATATAAGACTTTCTAATCTTCTTTCTAATTCATAACGTGAAATTTCATTCCAAAGTTCACAAAAAAGTTTGTTAGCAATAATTTTTTTTTCTTTGGTTTTCGATGACATTTCAAAATAATCTTTATATTCGTGGACTTTAGCGATTTCTCCATCTTTCTTCAATTTTAAAATAGTTAAAGAGAAATAAAAAATGATATTATCATAAAAAATGTGATCTGTCGGAATTTTTTCGATATTTTCTTTTGCTAACAAATAAGTGGATTCTAATTGGCCATCTCTGTAAAGATCTATAATTTTTTTTACAATATTATCAAAGTTTTTTTCAGATGACATTATATTATGTTTGATATCTACATAAGTATTTTATATTTAAATATTTTATAATTAATAATAATATTCTAATAAATTAATAAACAAATCAAAATAAAACCTTATTAATTGAATCTTTCACAATGTAAAAATGTCTAACCTCAAACAGATCGATCCGAATGAGTTTTCTGATAAAGAGTCAATTTATAAAAATATCAATGTGGAGATTTTTAAAACAAAATGGAAATCATTAAAACTAGATGCAGTTATCAAAAATTTTTTAAAAGATAATAGCGAATTTCAAAATGAATTTAATATTATCTTAAAATTAAGGAGGAGACATCCAAATATCATTACCTTTTATAGATGTTGTTCTGATAACCCTCTTAATTTAGTTTTTAAATATGCGGACCAGGAAAATCTAAGAGAATATCTAAGAGATAAATTTGATTGCTTAACATGGAATGAAAAGTTTAAGCTTTGTAAAGATATTACTGTGGTCTATATTTTTTACATAATCACGATATAATTTATAAAGATATATGGTCCAAGAATATTTTAATTTCACAAGGTACTGCCAAGCTTTCTGATTTTGGATTTAGCAAGTTTGAGAATGAAAAAACTAGACCAATTGATGGTCTGAGGAAAAATGCTTCGTATATTGATCCCTAATACATCATCAACCCCAAATACGAATTAACAAAAAAATCAGATATTTATTCATTGGGTGTTGTCTTTTGGAAAATTTCAAGCGGTGAAAAACCATTTAAAAATTCTGACAGCCAAGATGCGATCGCAGTATATATTTCTAACAGAAACAGAGAAATTCCGGTTGAAGACACACCTGAGTTGTATAAGGATATTTACGTTAGATGTTGGGATCAATCACCAGATAAAAGACCAAATATTAAAGAAGTTTTTGATATTATTAAGAATTATTAATTAGTTCTATAAATTTTACATGTATTAATAATTATTTTTAAATAAACAACTCCGTAAACTCCGATAGATGAATATAAAAGTTTTAATTTTTTATCATGATTCAAATCGAATAACCATCATATTCTTAACAGACTTACCAACTGAGATTTTTTTTATTATTGTAAGAAACATCAGATGTCCATTAAATCTTTTGTTAGTTAGCTATTTCTTTAATAATATCATAACCAACCCTACTATGAAAGCTACATGGTTACTTTATAATTTTGGTAAAGCACAAGCCCTTTTTCACACTGTTAGATTGGGTCCTTATTTTTTAACTCTTAAAGTAGCACATTGTTTACTGAATCAAGGAGAAAACCTATCTCGTTATTTCATACAAAGACTCATGTTGGCTTTTGGTGAATACGATATGTGTTTGATAGAATTAAAAATATCACATAATCTAAATTCGACAATTCATAGAAATAATATTAAAATTAAAAAACCATGGGGCAACACTCTAAAAATGGAAGTTTTTAACTTCTTTTTACTAGAAGCAGAAAAAATTTACAAGGATGAATTATTTTTGAAATCAAATGATATAGAACTTTTTCATTTTTTATCTTGTGGCCTATATGAAATCGAAGATGCTAAAAAACAAATCAAAAAGAATCTAAAAGAAATACAAAATTTAATCTTGGTTAAAAAATTTGTACCATTTCCTTCGAGACATGAAACTTTTATTATAGAAGAATATTTATCACGAGATGGTTATGAAAACAATCGTCAATTAAATGTTATTACCCGTGCTATTATATTATATAATGATCTTGTAAATTTATGGAAATCAATTGGTTATA